AAAAATTTTTTAATTTATTTATCTTGAGAAAAAGAGAAAGTACAAGTGGGTGAGGGGCAGAGACAGAGGGAGAGAATTCCAAGCAGGCTCCACACTGTCAGTGCAGAGCCCAATGTGGAGCTTGAACCCATGAACCATGAGATCATGACCTGAGCCAAAGTTGATTGAACGCTTAACCAAATGAGCCACCTGCGCACCCCTCAGACATGCTGACTTCCAAACTGATAATCCAAAATGACTTCAGGATCATCAATCTTTGATGGAGCTATAATTTACACACTATAACATTCACCTATTTATGTAGCAAGTTTACAGAGTTGTGCACCATCGTTACAATCCAGTTTCAGAACATTTCTATCACCTGAAAACCCCTCATGCTCATTTACATTAAGCTCCCACCCCAGCCCCTATCAATCAGTTTTGTATTATTGCATCTTCTCTTCTCTTTCTTAAATTCACAAAGAAACTAAATTTCCCTGCTCACTAGAAAGTCTACAAAGCATTACTTTTCTTACACGACAACTTAGTTCTAAACTCTTCTATGGAGCAGCAAAGAAAAGATCTAAGAGCATCTCCATAATCACAGACCCAAAAGCCAATCCAAGTGTGAGCAGGCTCAGCAGGCAACCTTCAGGCCTGCCTGCGAGCACTGGGAAAAAGACCTGTGAGGTGAAAGTCAGGAAGGCCCGAACTGCATGAGGTCCTTACCAAGTTCCAGAAGCTCTCATGTTTGCTTGGATTCTCACTGCCCAGGACATCTGCCAACAAACTGTCCACCTCACACACATGCAGTCGGACCCAGTCAAGGAGGTGAAGGAGGAGAGGGCCGGCTAGGAGGAAAGACTCTTGTCACACACAAACCTCAGCTTCATCTGCAGCAAATTCCACTTTCCCACAGTACAGACAGAAAGTGTAGGGAAGACAAGAGAACTACATAGGAAGTAGTTTATCCCTCGTAGGCAGACACACATCTGGTACTGAATAAAGGGCTGGGCTGACAAATGGACCTTTAGGAATACTTCCTCTGAGCCAGGCAGCTCCACCTTTCACTGAATCTCTGATAGGGCTTAATCCCACCACCTGCACCATCCCCAAATCTTCACGACTATGCAGTACACCATGGCCATGTAAGGAACGGCCACTTAGGGACTGGTACTGATTAGGTGCTAGGTATGCAACAATGATGGAAACACAGCAGCAGCCCTCAAGACATACTGGAGGAAGTAAACACAGAAACAACTAATTTTAATTTCAAGTTGCTCAGGGCTTTAGCAGAAATAGGAGTAAAAAGCTATGACTGCACAGAGATTATTAACACTCATTTATGGACAACACCAAACATAAACTATCAAGAGAATACAAAAAAAAAAAAAAAAAAGCCTGCAGCACCTCCACAGAGCCCACGCAAGCAAAGATACCATACCAACCACAATTTGGTTCAAAAACATGGAATAATTCAGAATGGACAGTTCACATGTAGGGCTGCACTTGCCCCAACCACCGGTGACAGAATTCCCCAAGTAACTTTGCCCCCTCCTCATGAAAGTTTTCTCCTTTCTTTTACTTTTTTATTTTAAACACATACATTTATTGTTTCACACTTCTGGAGGCCAGAAGTCTGAGATCAAGGAGTGAGCAGAGCTGGCTCCTTCCAAGGCTGGGAGGGAGAGCCCATTCCATGCCTCTCCCCTGGCTTCTCCGAAAACTTTGATAAGCTTGGCATGTCCACAACATAAGTGCTGACCAACCATCATACAATAGTTTAACATGTTTTCTTAGTGTTTTTCAGGGGCCACCAGCCTAACATTTTAGGTTTTCAGGAGGCATTTTCTTTTTGCGGAAGGTAACAAAATGGCAGGCTTCTTTGGGTATTATGTACAGCCTTCTGATGGTTGCGGTGATGAAGAGTGATGAAAAGAGCATTCTACACAACTGAACTCTCATCGTGACATGCAGGAAAAGGCAGGGGGACACTTCTGATGTTGGGAAGGGATGATTCCATGCTCACCTGGGGCTACTTCAATAAAAAGAATCTCACAAAGGTTCCAAATAAGCTCCATTGCTGATAAAATCGAGACCTGAGGAAGAAATGGAAACAAAGTTTTAAATGAAAATATTCCTGATATTTGCTCTTAGAACAAAGGAATGAAGCAGGGCTTGAACCACATGATGGTCATTCATTATTAACTCAACATTTATTGAGTACTCCTATGGAAATCCTACAGGATTTCCCACAGGGAATTCACTGAGAGAATTTTAGGGGATGGTAGGCAGACTAACATTTTTTTTTTTATTTTAATGGTTCTTGTTTTAGTTTAATGAGCATTATAGAAAAATATAATTAGCCCATCATGCTCAGGGTCTTGATGAATATTAGGATTTAGAAAGAGGCTGAGTAAAATGGAGGATGATTTTTAGAAAAATATTTAGTAAATAATATTAAGAATTCTACAGATATACCAAAATCATGAAGGTGATATTCAAGGGACTAAAGTTTAAGGAAGTCTATAAAAAGGCAAACCTAATATAACACCCAAAAATAAATCAGGTCTGGACCCTGCCCTAGAAATATACACTCCCCTTCCCGATCATCTTTTCATACACAAACACAGATGACCTTATTCACAGAGAAAATAAATGCTTTGCTGCACCAATCCCTACTCACTACTGAGTTTGAACACTATCAAGATTCTACCAAAGAAAGAGAATTCTTTCAGCCATTTTCCAGCTCCAACGAAAGTAAACAACTCAATAAAAATGCTAGGTCACGAGCTGAGTCCAATTTATAAAAATAAGCAGTGGTTCCAAAAGCTCAGTTCACTATCTCAGGTGACAAAATGTGGTTAGGATTGATATTTCCCAGAAGAACTGCAAATTCATACAAGTACTTCTCAAACACATCCTTGTGTTCCAATGTGGTATGCCCTGAAGGGGGCACCAGGAAGTTCAAGATGATCCTTACCACCCCCAAGGAGTTGCCTGTCTAGCTGGTAAGAAGAAAGACTTGTGCAAAACAATGCTTGCAAAGCCACCCCAGGTGGGTGCTAAGGATTCAGACAGACATAATGGTGCCAGAATAACAAAGGCAGGAGGCGCCCCTACCTGGCTGCTGAACTGGCGACCACTGGCTGGATCTTTAGCAGCAACTAACAAAACACAAAACATTTTGAAGTGAGCAATCAAACTTTTAGTCTCATAGTCACAGCTTCATATATCAGGTTCTTCAGCTTGTGCCTATTTCCTCTAATGACCACCCATTTTCACTATAAATTTTTAAAAAGTGGCTCATATCTCTTTGTTACAGATCAATGATTTGCAAACCCAATGCCCTCAAGTTACAAGCGATACTTTCAACTGCAACAGAGCAAACAGAGACCATCATGTTATAAAAGACTCTACTCAGCACCCAGGAATCACAAGGCTCTCAAGGTTATGGGGACTTTAAATCGCAAAAGTTAAAGAACTGGGAATGTGATTTTCAAAGATCTTAAATTCTTCAAATTTCTTTAATCTTTCAAAGATCACACCTGTCAACTCAATATATTCTGACTTAAAAAAATGTACTCAAGACAACTGCCAAAAAATTAGATTATACAAGATGGGAAAGTAAGACTTTTGAACTGGAAAATCAAATAAACTTTACCTTGCAGTATTGACTAACATTTCAATTACTATCACATGTACACACACAAAATCCTTACTTGCAGCCTGGTGCATTTCCTCCATACAGGCTCTTATGACTGATCGGTAGTTCTTACTCACTCGGACCAATCTACAAAAAAATGAAATGACATACAATAGGAGTGTGGAGCATCTTGTAGTGACAAAAAGCAAGGAAGTTTGCAACAGAAGAGAAGCGCTTGCTCAAAAACAGGAGCTAACCTGAAGAAGTTCCTAAAGGTCTAAGCTGGAACAATTTGAGCATCAAAATAAGAACATATGAGGTAACCCAGGGAGTAAAATAAACATCCCCAAATCCATACTGATATTATGTATCATCTCATACAGATGAGATCCATGGACACTAAAAATAACGGTTGAAAATTTAAGGAGAAACAGAATTTGCATATAATCTCAAGGTTTCTCCTCCAAATATGTATTAGTTACAAGGGAAAGATGGCAATCTTACAGTGAAGAAACCCAGTAGAAACCACATTAACCAAGTGATGAAGGTCAATAAAACCAGTAATAAAACTTCAACATGATGAACCCCATGATATGATGTACTGAAGATCCATCATACTAGTTCTGTGGTATCCTTACTAAAAATGCATAATCTCAAAAACAATACATAACCTTTGTCTAATCATGAGAAAACATCAGACAAACCCAAATGGAGGGAGAGTCACCAAAATAACTGGTCAATATTTTTTTCAAAAGTGTCCAAGTCATGAAAAAGACTAAGGGAAAAAAATTAAATGCAACCTCAGTCACAGAAGAGAAGAAAAGCACATTAGTGGAAAAATTGATGAAATTCAAATGAAGTCTTTAAGCATATTGCATTGATGTTTAAGTTTCCTGGTTTAAGTGACAATAATAGGGTAACATATGGATATTAACATTAGAAAGCTGGGTGATGGATATGCAGGAATCTATTATTCTGTATCTTTTCTGGAAGTCCAAAATTACTTCAAAATAAAATCTTTAAAGAAGGAAGTGACGAGACACCTGGGTGGCTCATTCAGTTAAGCCTCTGACTCTATTTCAGCTCAGAAAATGATCTCATGGTTCCTGAGATCCAGCCCCATACTGGGCTCTATGCTGACAGCACCAAGCCTGCTTAGGATTCCCTTTCCCTCTCTCTGCCCCTCCTGTGAGCATGCTCTTTCAAAATAAATAAATAAACATTAAAAAAAAGAAAAAAGAAAATGACAAAACATAACAAACTTCCAAAAGAAAATAACTGGTTTAGTTACCAAGATGCAATCCTTAGCAACAAGAACAGTTCTAGAAGAGACCTAAAGACCACCTATTTGCTCCATTTAAAAATGAATAGTAGCATGCTTACTTCAGAAGCACATATACTAAAACTGGAACAATACAGAGAAGTGTAGCATGGCCCTTGGGCAAGGATGACATTCAAATTTGTGAAGTGTTCCATATTTTTTAGGACTGCGTTACATACAGAATTGCTAAATCATGGGCACCTGGGTGGCTCAGCTGGTTAAGCGCCTGATTTCGGCTCAGGCCATGATCTCACGGTTCGTGGGTTCGAGCCCCGCATTGGGCTCTGTGCTGACAGCTAGCTCAGAGCCTGGAGCCTGTTTCAGATTCTGTGTCTCCCCCTCTCTCTCTCTCTCTGACCCTCCCCTGCTCATGCTGTCTCTCTCTTAGCAATAAACAAAACATTAAAAAAAAATTAAAAAAGAATCACTAAATCACATTGCACACCTGAAATTAACATAACACTATGTTGATTATACCAGAATTAAACAAATAAAAAAAAAAAGCAACATTCTGCATATGACCTACAACAGGGTTGCCAGGAGGTAAAGCAATCTGCACATATTCTCTCACCCAATCCTCACTATCTTGGATCCCCTTTCACTGCCAAGATTCAGGTCCAGATAAGTAATTCAGCCAAAAAAATAAGGTGATTGCTAACCCCAACGCACAGAGCAGGAACTCTCATCCCACCATAAGGATGACATTCACTTACTCATTCAGCAAATATTTTAGAGCATGTATTTTATTTTTTTTATGTTTATTTAGTTTGAGAGCGAGCAAGGGCAGAGAGACATAGAGAGAGGGAGAGAGAGAATCCCAAGCAGGCAGGCTCTGGGCTACCAGCACAGAACCCAATACAGGGCTCAATCTCACATACTGATCTCACATACCATGAGATCAAGACCTGAGCCGAAATCAAGAGTCGAACACTTAACTGACTGAGTTATTTATGTTTAAATAAAATAAAAGTAAAAATAAAAAAAGAAATTTTCAGCCCCGCACCCTACCTTTCTAGAGAGGGTAAAGGGGCTAGAAATGGAGTTAATAATTGATCATGTCTACATGAGGAAGCCTCCATAAAATCCCAATACTGTGGAGTTCAGAGAATTTCCAGGTGGGTAAATAAATCCCCATACCAGGAGGGGACACACCCAAACTCTACGGGGACAGAAGTACCAGTACTCTTAACCCTCCCAAACCTATTTATCTCTTCACCCAGCTGTTCATCTGTATCCTTTACCATATCTTTTAATAAATTGGTAAGCCAGAGACACCTGGGTGGCTCAGTTGGTTAAGCCTCCGACTTCGGCTCAGGTCATGATCTCATAGTGTGTGGGTTTGAGCCCCGCGTCAGGCTCTGTGCTGACAGCCAGCTCAGAGCCTGGAGCCTGTTTCAGATTCTCTGTCTCCCTCTCTCTGACCCTCCCCTGCTCACACTGTCTCTCTCTCTCTCTTTCTCAGAAATAAATAAAACATTAAAAAAAATTTTTTAATAAAAACGTTAAACAAAAAAAAAATTTCAAAATAAATAAATAAATTGGTAAGCCTGAGTGTTTCACTGAGTTCTGTGAGCCACTCTAGCAAATTCACTGAACATGAGGAGGTTTGGGAACTTGTAGCCAAGCCAGACAAATGCTTTAAGTAACCTGGGGACCCACTAACTGCAATTGACACGTGAAGTGGGGAAAAGTCTTGTGGGACTAAGCCCTAACCTGTGAAATCTGATCTCCAGGTAGATAGTGTCAGAATTGAGTTAAATTGTATGATACCCAGGGGACCTGATGGGCTCAGTCAGTAGAGTATGTGACTTTTTTTTTGAGAGAGAGAGAGAGCGCGAGCGAGCGAGCATGCATAAATGGGGGAGGGACAGAGACAGATGGAGACAGAATCCCAAGAGTTGGATGCTTAACCAACTGAGCCACCCAGGCACCCTGAGCATGCAATTCTTGATCTTGGGGTCATTTGTTCAAGCCCCGTGCTAGGAATAGAGCTTACTTTAAAAGAAAAAAAAGATACCCAGCTGGTGTCACAGAATTGTCTGGTGCTATACATCTAGCATGAGAAGGGAATATGGGTACCTGGTGGCTCAGTCAGTTAAGTGTCCAACTCTTGGTTTTGGCTCAGGTCATGATCTCACTCACAGTGCACAGCTTGCTTGGAATTTTCTCCCTCTCCTCCTTCTGCTTGGAATTCACTCTATCTCTCTCTCTGTGCCCCTCACCCACTCACACTTTCTCTCTTTCAAAATAAATTTTAAAAATTTGAAATAAACAAACAAGGGGTGCCTGTGTGGCTCAGTCTGTTAAGCATCCAACTCTGGCTCAGATCATGATCTCACAGTTTGTGAGCTTTAGCCATATATAGGGCTCTCTGCTGTCACCAAGAAGCCCACTTCAGATTCTTAGTCTCCCTCTCTTTCTGTTCCTCCCCTGCTTGCACACATTCTCTCTAAAATAAACATTTAAAACAATGAAAACAAAAAACCCCAAGAAGTGAATATGACAGTTGTGCCATATTTGAGACACAAAAGGAGAGAAAAACTTTTTCCCCTCCAGTACAAATGCCAACACTGCCCATGCTCCAACTAATTTATGGACACTGATAAAAAACTAACATGGAGGTTCTCATCCTCCATGGTGCTTAAGACTCACCTGGAGATTTTAGATTTGAGGATCCACCCCAAGAAATTTTGATTTTTATGATCTGAAGTGGGGCCCAGAAATCTGTCACTAACAAGTACCTGCCTGATACTGATGCAGTTATCTTATGAACCATACTTCAAACAACCCTAGTCTATACACAGTATAATAGTTTTCTGGTCTCTTACCAGAAAAATGCCTTGAGAGTTAATTCTATAAAGATACAACAAAACTACTTTTTTAAACTCACTTTTATAATACTATAATTTCAAAATCTTCCATCACTGGGACTCTCTCAATGATTCTCCAGATGCTTATGTAGCCTAAATTTTCTTTTTTGAAGGGTAAATGAAACAGGAACATAAACAGACAAAAAGCTTATCAAGCCAGCAAGTCGATCAACAGCCATTTGCACAGGTACCCACAAGACATTTCCTCTCTAACTACCTCTACTGCCCAGGACAGAAGCCAAAGTAGAACCAAGAGCCCCTTCTTTCTCCACGCACTCCATCTACTATGCAAAAGGACAATGATGCAGTTCATATGGCTTTCACAATTTAGTTGTGGACTGCAGCACCTACCAGCAGCCTACTTACTGAGCTTTTCTGGACTTTCCAGTCAATTCTTCTTCAATTCTCTGGAGGCCCACAAAGATTCCATGGGATTCATTGAAGAGTTTTCTCAAGATTTGAGAGTAAACATCTATATCCTTTCGGATGATATAGATAAAGGGGCAGCCTGGCACAGTCTCTGATTTTTCTGAAACAGGAAAAATTTAACATCGATCACTATTACTCTCATATAACAACTGACTCTAAAATTTTTAAATTGTGGGTCGCCTGGGTGGCTCAGTCAGTTAAGCATCCGACTTCAGCTCAGGTCATGATCTCACAGTTCATGGATTTGAGCCCCGCATTGGGCTCTGTGCTGACAGCTAGCTCAGATCCTGGAACCTGCTTCAGAGTCTGTGTCTCCCTCTCTCTCTCTGGCGCTCCCCTGCTTACACTGTCTCTCTCTCTCTCTCTCTCTCAGAAATAAACAAAAAACATTAAAAATTTTTTTGATTTTTAAATTGAGTTATATAATTACAACAGCTTCAGCTACTTTGCTACTGATTTCATTTTTTAAAAAAGTATGAATTATCAATTATCCACACATTAATTATTTAATATACATATTTTCAGACTCACTGGCTTATTTATTTTATTGTGTTAATGTAACCTCTAGGCCTGGAGTGCCTGGCTCAGTCGGTGGAGTGTGCAAATCTTGATCTTGGGGCTGTGAGTTCGAGCCCCACAATGAGTATGAAGATTACTTAAAAATAAAATGTTTTAAAGAATAAAATAAAGTAAGCTCTAGACCCAACATGGGGTCTGAACTCACAACCTTGATATCAAGAGTCACATACTCTACTGGACTGAGTCAGCCAGATGCCCTCTCACTGACTTATTTTGGAACTACCTTTGCCTCCATCAATTGAAATATACTGAAAGAAAATTAAACTCACTTATATTAGCCTAAATATAACTTGAAAAATACGATAAACCAACAGCCGAAATTTTATATAATCTCAAATTTACGTAAATATTTTTACATCAGTTTGTACTGCCATCACTCCTACAGCAAAGAATCAAAAGTTAACTATTTTACAACAGTAATAAAAAGGCTCTATAATGATAAACTATAAACAACCAACTTGTGGAAATTTTTTTATGCAATAGCTTCTCAAAGCTATGACCTAAGTGAAAGTCGGACGCTTAACCGACTAAGCCACCCAGGCGCCCCTCAAAGGTTGTTTTTTGAGCAACTGTCTCTTTGGCAGCTTCTATAGCTCTGCTAACCTTGAAATCTTTAATACCAAAATATCCCATAAACATTTAGCAACATCAGGGACAATTCTTACCTACAAAATCAAGAAAAACTACATCACTTAAAACTTGCATGAATTGGGGCACCTGGGTGGCTCAGTCGGTTGGGCAGCCAACTTCAGCTCAGGTCATGACCTCATGGTTCGTGGGTTCAAGCCCCGCGTCGGGCTCTGTGCTGACAGCTAGCTCAAAGCCTAGAGCCTGTTTCAGATTCTGTGTCTCCCTCTCTCACTGACCCTCCCCTTCTCATGCTCTCTCTCTCTCAGAAATAAAGAAAAAATGTTAAAAAAAAAAATTTTTTTAATTGCATGAACTGGAGGGTGCCTGGGTGGCTCAGTCAGTTAAGCATCCAACTTCAGCTCAGGTCATGACCTCATGGTTCGTGGGTTCAAGCCCCGCGTCGGGCTCTGTGCTGACAGCTAGCTCAAAGCCTAGAGCCTGTTTCAGATTCTGTGTCTCCCTCTCTCACTGACCCTCCCCTTCTCATGCTCTCTCTCTCTCAGAAATAAAGAAAAAATGTTAAAAAAAAAAATTTTTTTAATTGCATGAACTGGAGGGTGCCTGGGTGGCTCAGTCAGTTAAGCATCCAACTTCAGCTCAGGTCATGATCTCATGACTCATGAGTTTAAGCCCAGAGCCTGAAGCCTGCTTTGGATTCCATGTCTCCCTCTCTCTCTGGCCCTCCCCTGCTCATGCTCTGTCTCTCTCTCAAAAAATAAATAAAAATTTAAAAATTAAAAAAAAATTGCATGAACTGTGCTCACTTCAGCAGCACATATACTAAAGTTGGAACAATACAGAGATTAGCATGACCCATGCACAAGGACGACATGTAAATTCGTGAAGCGTTCCATATTAAAAACAGCAACAACAACAACCAGGGCACCTGGGTGACTCACTCAAAGTTAAACATCTGACTCTTGATCTCAGCTCAGGTCTTGATCTCAGAGTCATGAGTTCAAGCCCTGCACTGAACTCCACATTTAGCATGGAACCTACTTAAAAACATTAATAAAATAGGGTGCCAGGTGGCTCAGTCAGTTAAGTGTCAGACTCTGGCACAGGTTGTGATCTCACAGCCCATGAGTTTGAGCCCCACATTAGGCTCTCTGTCAGCACAGAGCCCACTTCAAATCCTGTCCCCCTCTCTCTCTGCCCCTCCACTTGCACACACGTGCTCTTTCTCAAAATAAATAAATAAATAAACTTAAAAAAATATATAAATAAAATTGGGGTGCCTGGCTGACTTCAGCTCAGGTCACAGTTGGTGAGCTCGAGCCCCGCTCTGGGTTCTGCATTCTCTTTGCATCTCTCTTTCTGCACCTGGTGGGATTCTCTCTCTCTCCCTCTAATTCTTCCCCTCGATCACTTGAACTCCCTCATAAATAAACAGATAAAACTACATGAACTGCACACGTGACTTGCCAAAATTTTAAGACTTTCATTAGCTCCATCTTTCTCTATAATAAAATAAAGCTTCTACATTTGAATAGTCTGTCAAATATCTGCACAAAAATATCTCCAACATTTCCTAAGACTCTTTTGAAAAGAAGAAAGCAAAATCAAATGTTCAAAATTTAGTTTTATCTTCCTACTAGAAGAGTCTGTATCAGAAAGGAAAGATTCAGGGGCGCCTGGGTGGCTCAGTCGGTTAAGTGTCCAACTTCAGCTCAGGTCATGATCTCACGGTTCTTGGGTTTGAGCCCCACATCGGGTCTGTGCTGGCAGCTCAGAGCCTGTAGCCTGTTTCAGATTCTGTGCATCGCTCTCCCTCTGCCCCTCTCCCGCTCATGCTCTGTCTCTGTCTCAAAAATAAATAAACTATAAAAAAGAAAAAAAAAGATCCAGGCCCCTGGGTGGCTCAAATAGTTGAGTGTCAAAATCTTGATTCCAGCTCAGATCACAATCTCATAGTTCGTGGGTTCGAGCCCCACATGGGGCTCTGACTGGTGGTGCAAAGTCTGCTTGAGAGTCTGTCTCCCTCTCTCTCTGCCCGTCCCACCTCATACTCTCTCAAAAAAAAAAAAAAAAAGAAAGAGAAAGAGAGAAAAGATTCATGTGGGGCGCCTGGGTGGCTTAGTCGGTTAAGCGTCCGACTTTTACTTAGGTCATGATCTCACGGTTCGTGGGTTCGGGCCCCGCGTCGGGCTCTGTGCTGACTGCCAGCTCAGAGCCTGGAGCCTGTTTCGGTCTGNATTCAGGGGCGCCTGGGTGGCTCAGTCGGTTAAGCGTCCGACTTTTACTTAGGTCATGATCTCACGGTTCGTGGGTTCGGGCCCCGCGTCGGGCTCTGTGCTGACTGCCAGCTCAGAGCCTGGAGCCTGTTTCGGTCTGTGACTCCCTCTCTCTCTGACCCTCCCCTGCTCACGCTGTCTCTCTCTCTCCTAGAAATAAATTAAAAAAACATTTAAAAAAAAAAAAAGAAAAGATTCATGTCCAAAACATGACATAGCTTAGAGAATAAGGAAGAGCCATTTACTCTCCAGATCCTTTGTGCTTTTTATCAACAGCCTACAGAATTCAATCAAGTTCACAATAATAAAAGGTAAGGACTTCAAAGTCTTCATAAATCTGCAGTTTCACAATAAGGGGGCTGCTATAAAGGGAATTTAGTCATTCTGGACAAGAAGGGGGAAAAAACTTGACTTTTTAAATACACAGGAAACATTTCAGGGTGCATGGCTGGCTTAGTGGGTAGAACATGCAACTTCTGATCTTGGGACTCTGAGTTCAATCCCCACGTACGTTGTACAGACTACTCAAATATATTTAAAAAAATAATAATAAATAAAGGAAACCATTCTTTAACACCTGGAAGATTACTGTTCATTTTTTTTCCTGGACTCAACATCTGCCAAATCTCATAAATTAATGAAAATCTTAAATACCAAAGTTTCAAAAGTGAAAATGGTACAAAATAAGTTAAACTGTTTCTTGCCTTAGTTAGTCAAATCTGAAAGAAGAAAACAACCAAATGTGCCAAGATAGATACTCTGGGAGAAAAAAAAAAAAAAAAGAAAACCTACCTTTTTTGTTGAAGGAGGTTTCACACACCAGCATCTCTCCTGGACCCCATTCAAAACACATTTGCTTCTTCTTGGAATTTACTCCTGGAATCAACTAGTAAAAAAAGATAAAACAAAGAAACTTATTTTTACTAAAGGCTTTGCTTTCAACTGATTTGCAATATAACCGTAGAAATCACTGGTCATGAAAGTTAAGTGCTACTCTATGTACACAGCTGAGTGTGGTTGAGATCAGCCCAATCTGTTAAACCCTGAATAAGCAAGTGACCTTGCCGGGCACCTCAACCCAGCCTGCCACTTCACAATCAATTATTGTACTGTAATTTAGTGATCCATAGTTCAGAATAAGAGAATTAAAAAAAAAAAAATACAAAAGAGGGGCGCCTCGGTGGCTCAGTTGGTTAAGCGGCCAACTTCGGCTCAGGTCATGATCTCACAGTTCGTGAGTTCGAGCCCCGCATCGGGCTCTGTGCTGACAGCTAGCTCAGAGCCTGGAGCCTGTTTCAGGTTCTGTGTCTCCCTCTCTCTCTGACCCTCCCCTGCTCACGCTGTCTCACGCTGGCTCTCTCTCTCTGAAATAAATAAAACATTAAAAAATTTAAAAAAAAAAAACAAACAAAAGAAACTGAACTGTTACTCACTAAACGAAGCCCTCCAAACACATGGTTTCTGTGCCATCTCTTTGAGGACGCTCAGTTTTTCCTCTCTCAGTCCAATCCCTTTGAGCCTCAGCTTTATACATCCAACTACCTAATCCACACCTGTATGGGTTACCTAACACCTAACCTCCAGAGCCTCCATAACATAAGAATCAATAAAGGACTCTTGATGCTCATCTCCAATTCTTCCCCCACTGGGGCAAAGCCTTCCCCAACTGTTAAAAGACTAACCTGTGATTCTTCTCTTTCCCTTACCACCTTTGTCCAATCTATCAGTAAATCCTGTTCTGCTCTTATATAAGCCTGAATCCAACCACTTACCATGTCTACCAGTCTAATCCAAGCCACCATCAACTGTTATTTGACTGCAACAGCATTTCTCAGTGCCTGAAATTATTCTCATACATGGTTATTATCGCTCCCTGTAAATAGATAAAAGCTCACAAGGGCAAAGGATTCTGGGATTCTCATACACTGCCTAGAAGAGACCCTGGCACAAAGTTGGCACTCTATAAATATTTTTGGCGGACAATAAATTTGGCTGGTATCAAGACAAATGCACTCAGTTCTTAGGAAGAGCTAATGCAGTCATTCAACAATTAAGCAATGTTTAATAAGCCTTTTTCTATACTGGGCTCTAGGAATACAATGTGTAATACAGTTTCTGTCCTCCAAATGCTAGCAGTCTACTGAGGAAGTCCAATAAACAGGCAGTTAAAAAAAAAAAAAGTGGAGAAATGCCAAACCATAGATAAACACAAAAAAGGATGTTTTAGTAGACTCTTAATGGATGAGTGGGCAAAGCAAGGGGGAAACATTACACACAGTGCTGCTGAGGCAAATAGGTACCCATATGCATAAAATGAACCTAACGTCACAGACAAAATAAAAGTTAGATACAAATGTAAAGCAAAATCTGTAAAACTTGAAAAGTATAGTAGAAAACCTTTTTGATCTTAAAGTAAGCAAAGAGAGGACACAAAAAGCACAAAATATAGAACAATTTATAAATTGGGGCTTCATCAAAATTAAACTTTTGCTCTTCAAAAGATAGTGTTAAGAAAATGAAAAGGCAAACCACAGACTGGGAGAAAATATCTGCCAAACACATATTGGATATCTAGACTACATAAAGAACTCTTGCAATTCATTAATAAAAAATAACCCAATAACAAAATGGGCAAAAAATTTTAACTGCCACTTCACCAAAGATATACAAATGACACATGTATAAGCATATAAAAAGATGCTCAATATCTGTCATCATCAGGGAAATACAAATCAAATGATAATGAGCTACCACTCATTGCTACCAGAATGGCAATGGCTAAAATTTTAAAAGATTGACCACACAGGGGCACCTGGCTGCTCAATTAAACATGTGACTTTGGCTGAGGTCACCATCTCAGGGTTTATGAGTTTGAGTTCCACGTCCTCAGGCTCTGTGCTGACAGCTCAGAGCCTGGAGCCTGTTTCGGATTCTTTGTCTCCTTCTCTCTCTGCCCCTCCCCCACCCATGCTCTGCCCCTTCCTCAAAAATTAGTATTTAATTAAAAAATAATAAGTATTTAATGAATGAATGAATGAATGAATAAAAAGACTGACCACACAGTTGATGAGGATGTGGAACAACTGGAACTGTCACATGTTGCTGACGCAAAAATGGCATTTGAAGAAATGACAGTTTATTTCAGCTAAATACAAATATATTCTATAACCCAGCAATTCTACTTCTAGATATTTACTTTAGAAGATAAGATAAAGGGAAACAAAAGCCAAAACTTACATTTCTTAAGTATCTTTGAAGCAAAAAGATAATACCACTGGTCTAGAAAAGCAACTAAAAAGATTATTCTAGGCTCTACTTTGAATCTATACATAAACATCTTTAAATCTGCTGATTACTAACTGGCCTTCACGTGCCTTAATGATAAAAGCAAACAGGGCACCTGGGTGGCTGAGTCTGTTAAGCATCTAACTTTTGATTTTGGCTCAGGTCATGATCCTGGGGTCATGAGATGGAGCCCCGCGTTGGATTCCACACTGAGTGTGGAACCTACCTGAGATTCTTTTTCTCTCTCCCTCTCTGCCCCTCTCCCCTGCTTGCTCGCTCTCTAAAATAACTGAAAAGAGGCGCCTCGGCGGCTCAATCAGTTAAGCATCTGATTCCAGGTC